CCCCTGCACCAGTCCGATTCCCAACACGGACCCTTACCCGTCACCTCAAACTCATTCCAGCGCTTGCTCCTGTCCCCCAACTCCTCCCAGCAGCGACTACGAGAGCTGCTGCTCCGAGCCGGAAGATTATCAGTGCAAAAGGTGCCGTTGGACTTGACCACGTGGTCCAGCGGAGGAGATGTTTGACAAAAAAGAAAGAAAGAAAATTGGCACACAGCTTTTCTACCGTTGCCACAAATTTCTCCTTTTGTTGATCACAGAGAGATATTTTAGCCAACATTTGAGTGGATCGTTGCTTATTTGTTTGCTATGTAACAAGTATTTGTCTTCCACATAATGTTGAAATGAACAAGAACAAAGAGCGTGTGTGTGTGAGAGAGTGTGTGTGTGTGTGTGTGTGTGCGCGAGTGAGAGATGAGGCCTGCTGCCATTTAAAGAGGTTAGATTCAGAGAGAGAAGAGGCAAACAAAAGGTAAACTTCTAGAAAGCCGTAGACTCTGGAAGGAACAGAGGTGCTTTTTGATACTGTGAAATCGACTTTTTGTAAACGTGTTTTGTAATCACCATTTTGCTTAAATGTCAAAGGTAGCTCTGCACTGCACTCTGCAGTTTTTTTGTTTCATTTTCTATTTCCAGTTTTTGCTACTTTTCTTTATGGATTTTCTTACTCAGGTTCATTCTTTAAAATAAAACCAAAAAACTAGAAAGTGCCTGCTTCAGCTTATTTATTCTAGAAAGATTCATACAATTTATGCAGCTTATATATCTCCTATTTATACACAAAAAGCTGTGCTGAAAAACAGTCATCACATTATTCCCGGTACTCCAGATTATATTCTGGTAATCTATACATTTAATCTGCAGGAGTTAAAATGAGAAGAAAAAGTGCTTTTCCTGGAAAGTAAATCTCAAATCCAAGGCATATTTTTAACTTGTAAACATCTACATTAACATATTAGCAGCCAAGTGGAGACAGAGCATTATCAGAAACCAGATTCGTCCTCGCTGATGTCTCCCGGTCTTCTTGCTCTCAGATTAGTCCAGGACCAGCTGGGGGTTGTGGGCTGTGAGGCAGCGATAGACTCGGGCTGAAATCTCCGGTCCCACGCGTCTCTCTTTGCCTCCGCTTTTCGCTGAGAGGCCCGCGAGCAGCCCTTTTCTGTCCTCCTCTGACCCCAAGCTGTTATAAGCCTAAAATGAACAGAACATATTACAGAAGAAGAGTTTTTCTTCACGCAAACCTTATCAGACCACAGCGTCTCCTCACCTGTAGCAGCAGCTGGGGAGATGGATAGGATGCGGTCACAGCAGAGGCCACAGCAGGGCTGACTCTGTTCAGCTGCTGGATCTGCCTGCTCCAGACCTGAATCAGGCCGGAGCCATCCTTCTCTACCCGAACCCCACTGGCCCATGAGCCATCCACGCAAAAGGGCAGTTCTGCTCCCTCTGTCAGGAGTCTGCAAGAGCACAAAGTGGAGGTTTCATTAATTCACAGTCAGCCGCTATACTGTCTATGTCAGGGCACAGAACTGTGGCATACTTGAAAGGGCGTTTGGACAAAGCTTTGGTGACAGCACAAACATGATCAGTGACCTCCTGCCAGCTATCCAGGAAAACCACGGAGATATTTTTGTAGAGCTGTAGATACACGAGGACCTGGAGATGAAAGCGTTTCAAAAAGAGAGAGAGAGAGAAAGCTATTTGTTATCCATCAAGCTTTTTTGAAGATGTATACGAGTTCAAGATTCAAAGTGTTTATTGTCATGTGTACAGAGAAATAGCATCTCTCTGTGCAATGAAATTCTTCCTTTGCTGTCCATACACAAATGCCAAGTTAGATAGGGTTGAAGGAACAAGACCAATAAGGATAAAAATAATGAAAGATAAATAAATAAGTACAAAAATAAGTAAGTGAAGACAAGTGAGGTACGCAGATGTTGATGTAAATGGATGTACAAAGGAGCTTAATGTACAAAATGAACTTAGTGTGCAAAGTGTCCTGATGTGCAAATTGCAGTTGACGTAGGTCAGCTGTGTGAGTTGTGTGTACATGTGATAAAATCAGGAAGTAAGAATCGCAAATCCTTGAAAGAAAGACAGAGATTCAAAGCAAACTGACCTCCTCAATGTCCAGATGATCCATCCCCAATTTGTATTGTAGAGGCACACTGTGGGCGTTTGACCTGTTGGTAAACAATAGATCAGGTCATACAGTTTCCGCACTTTACTTATAATCAGAAAGTGGAGAAGTGAAGGAGCCACTGGGTAACAGAGGAAGTTAAGTATTCCCAGTTAAGCTGACCTGTAATCTGGCTCAGAGTCTGTCACTAACAGAGTGACCACCTTCTTGCCATCACGGTTGAGAAACTCCAAAAGCGGACTCCAGAAAGACCCCACCCCCGTCTCCACCGCTTGGCTGTGGATAATCTGCGGAGTGGCAGAGCGCAGTGTGAGTTCGAGGAGCCACAGCTCCTTCATAGAGTCAATGACACCATTACAACAGCTCAAAGGACTGCTTACTCTATTCACAGAGATCACTACATCCATGAAATCAGCCAGACTCAGGACTAGAAGCACCTGCTCTTCCTCCTCCACCACTGAGACCATGCCACCTTCTCCCTGCTAAAGCCAAAACAGTAATCCCTCACGGGAATCAACAAAAATGTAGCAAATTGCTAAATCTAGATTGAGTGAGCTGCCTACCTGAGGTAAATCTTGGGTCCAGGCGATGCTGCCAACGAGCTGCTCGCTCTCGATGCTGAACTTCCAGTCAAGGGAAACCAGAGTGTCCAGCAGGACGTCTGAGCCATCCTGCTGCAGAAGAACTGAAGAAAGATACAAAACAACACAGCAATTTGTGTGTTTTTGTGCATTATAAAGCCCACTGCCATCCCCGCAGGAGTCATAGTCAAGGAAAATGACATTTTTAAGGTGGTGCCTTTTAGGCTGGAAACAACAGCCATTACTTAAACAGTACTTAGGTAATGGTTCTTAAAGATTTAGACAGGCCCTTGCAAGGAGCATTGAGTCACTGATGTGGAACGTAGACCAGGATAGAAATGCAAGACTGCAGTTTTGACTTTGCTGCACTTTTTCCCCCTTAAATTCAAACTGGACATCTTGTTATTGGTAATGACTGTGGAGTGGGGGCGTGAACGCTTTTGAGCTTATGCAGGGTGTTGAAGAAGTAAAGATGCCGTGGAAAACTGTATCGTAAACTAGAAATACAGAAAATACTCTTTAAGAGACAGGGATGGGATCATACATGGCACAAATACAGTCAACACAAAAGAGATCCTACCTGTGTCATTTTACATCTGCACATATTTATTTATTTATTTTTTAAAGTTGGCCCCAAATTGTAGTTGTAAAGTTAATTTCCGGCGACACCTGAAGGCATCCCTGTGTCCGTGTGTACCTGGGTGTATGCAGACAGTGATGCATTTGAGGCAGTTTTCTGGCCGGAGACTCTTGAGGGTCTTGGCTGCCTCTCTCCTCCTCTGCTGCTCCTGTCTCCTCTCCTCCTGCTCCTGGGCTCTGGCCGCTCTCTGTTTCTCTCTCGCCTCCTTCCTCTCCTTCACTTTCAGCCTGTCCTCTTCTATTTCCTCCTTACTGCGACGTTTCCTGGCAGGACTCGGCGTACCGGACCCACCTGCTGCTGGAGGAGCCAGAGCAGCAGACCCCCCCCTATTTGCTGCTGAATTGTGTGAACCCTGCTCCTGCTTTTCTGTGCTGGCTGTCTGGATGCTGTTATCGCTGCCCAAACCGGGTTTTGTTTCAGCGTCGCTGTCCTCAGACTCAGAGATTTCCCACGTTTTAGCTCTCCGTAACAAAGACATCTCACATGTTAGAGACACAGCCGAAGTCCTTATTTGTAAAACCCTGAAAAAAACTTGGGAATATCTGAGTGGTACGGCATTGTTGTATAAGCCCACGATGGTGTTCGATGAGGGACAAATCACCCAAAACTCGCGATACTTAGTACTGATGGGATTTCCAGCTCTTTTTAGAGAACCGGCTCTTTCGGTTCGACTCACTAAAAAGATTCGACTCTTTCGGTTCCCAGCCGACTCTTCAGGTTGTTTTGTTGCTTTAATTAATTAATTATTAACAACAATATAAAATTATGCTCAAAAGGAATTACTATTGTAAAAAAAAAAGTGGTTTTATTTATATATGTTTATATATAAATATATACGGTGGTCCCTAGAGACAAAGCACTACAAACTCCAAAGCATGTACAAACTCCAAAACACATTTCTAGCATTAACTGAACTTCCAAAACAGAGCTACCTAGATCACTTAAATTACACAATTGAAAGCATATGTGTATTGTTTGTGTATTTATACACAAGCACTCATATAGATTCAAATAATTCAAAAAAAAAAAAGTTCATTTACCTGTTACTACCACACACCAAATCCGGTCGTTGGTACTTTCTGGCTTGTGTAGCCACTAGGATCCTAGCATCCTAGAGCACTTCTGTTGTGGTTTGTACGTGTTTTGGAGTTTTTATGTGTTTTGGTGTTTGTGCATACTTCGGAATTTTTACGTATTTTGGAGTTTTGACGTGTTTTGGAGTTTTTACGTACTTCGGGGTTTGTACATGCTTTGTCTCTAGCGACCACCGTAAATATACTTTAATTTATTCACTCCACATAAAAGGTAATAAATAAATCTTATAATACTAAAAACAACTATTTACATTTCTACTTTTAACCATTTGAATTTTCAGCTTTTTCCTGTGAAACAAATTTAAAGTGAAACAACATAAAACACTGCAAACCACAACACAATTAAATATAAATTAAAATATGAAAACAAAAAGAGCATGCACATTCTCTGTCATATGGGCCTGCATGAATAAACTTTCAGAATCCTTTATCTTCCGCAACTGAAAATAGTTGTGGATGATTACTATACCTTTCTAATGTGACGTTGTTGTCCCTGGCACTCTTTCTCTCTCTTTCCCTCCTGCTCTGTTCCTGTGCTACTACCTGTAATAACGGCCCTCCCCCCTCTTCCCAGCGAAGGAGGTGACCTAGCGAATAAATAAGTGGTGTACTGCAAATTTGGGTATTAAGTTGTTTAAATGTAGCCTACTTACAAAAATAAATGGCCAACATCAAACTATAATCAGTCCAATGAGCAGTACAGAACCCTGATTGTAATTTATATAATGTTTTATTTCTCTAGGACACCTGTAAGTTACTTAGCAACAAACACATACGTTTCCGTCCAGGTGGTTTTAAGATATGAGTTTCCCAGTATCAGCCACAGAAGAAGCGGCCGCTCACTCTGTTCATGTAAACGACAGTGAAGGATATGATTTTTGACGCTGTTTCAACAACGAAAACGATGGCGCAGCCGGCGGAAAAAGGTACGTCTCACTGCAAAGTTAATTATTAAAAACACAGCAAGTCAGCACAGATTACTGATACGAACCAGACCTCTGCTTGTAACCCTGAACACACTTCCCTAAAATCTCAGCATTTTATACTTCCACTGGGATTACAGAATTACATACTTTTTTCTCCTTAAAAACAAGCTAAAAACCAAAACTTGCCAGGTCGCACAATAGCGCTTTGTTGAAAGCCAAAAATGTCCTCAGACATAAAGACAAGTATTTGTTATATTGATCTGAGGCTGTTGCCTTTTTAAATCACCTGATGTTGCCCTTTCTTTATTGTGCGTCACTGTCTTGCAGCATACTATCGCTTTGTGGTGCTCTTCTTTAACTGTCTGCTGACCTTTGGGTCCTACTTTTGCTTCGACATTCCCAGTGTGTTACAGGATCAGTTCCAAGGGGTGAGCAAGAGGCAGCGCTGCTTACAGATCACATCAATATTGCACGACTTGATTATCAGGAGGGAAAGACTGATGTTGTTTTTAATGTTTGACTGTTGTTTTTTGACAGAACCTGACGTGTCCCAATGCAACGGTGATCAATGGGACAGTGGACTGTGTGGAGGGACTGGGGATGACCCCTCAGCAGTACAATCTTCTCTATGCCATCTATGCTTGGACGTAAGCACGTTAATGCATTGATTTCACTGTGAAAATGCAGAAAAGTGGCTTTTCAATGAGAAGCTTCTCTCTGTTATCAACAGGAATGCAGTAGTGGTGATCCTGGCTGGATTCCTGATTGACAAATTAGGAAATCGCTGTAAGTTTTGTTTTATGTTTTCTCTCTGCATGGTCTGCAGTTATTTTTAATCTACTGACAGTAAAATGATGGTACAACCATTTCTTTTGCTCCTCTTTGCAGTCGGTGTGTTTCTCTTCTCTTTTCACTGTGTTTTGGGCTCATCGCTGTTTGCTCTCGGCTCCCACTTCAAGGGATCTCCCTACTTGCTGCCGCTAATGCTCACCGGCCGTCTGCTGTTTGGATCAGGCAATGGATCTCTGACTAGTAAGTTCTCTTCATGGATACGAACAAATATTCTCTGCAGCATCGCCTTTGAGGAGCTCAGTTACCTTTCTCCTTCTTCATTAGTTGTTCAGAATCGCATCACAACCTTCTGGTTCAAAGGGAAGGAGTTGGCTTTGGCTTTCAGCCTGACCGTGGCCTTCTCGCGGCTGGGCTCGGTGTTGAACTTCTTCCTCACGCAGAAGTTTGAAGAAAAATATGGCATGCAGTGGACACTCTGGGGTGGTAGGTGACGAATGCGAAGAAATCTCAAGGATTATGGTGTGGTGCCATGTGACCTGGGTTTCTCATGTTATTGTTTCTTAGGCGCACTGTTGTGTGTGCTGGGCTTCACTTCTGCTGTCATTGTCAGCACCTTGGACAAGATTGAAGTGAGACAGCTGGGTCTCGATGGAGCCATCCAAGAAGAGTCTCGCAAAGTGGTATGATCAATATCCTTTAATAAAAATTAAAAAAAACATGCATACATAACACTGAAGATTAAAACCTTAATTTTTCAGTATTATGGACACACTAGTGATCTGTGTGGGGAACATCATTTATTGTTGTGTGTTTTTATGTGTAGAGGATTCAGGATGTGAAGCTCCTGTCAGTAACATACTGGCTGCTGGTTCTCACCATCATGTTCTTCTACAACGGCATCTTCCCCTTCATTGCTGATGCAAGGTAGAGTTCTCAACATAAAGTGTGAGCATAAAGACTTGTACATGCAGAGCTGCTTTCAGAGTCATCCATGAAACTTAAACCTGCATTCCTCTAAATACAGCAGCACGTATTGCAAGTGCAAGTGATACTAGTGTCACAAACATTTACATCTGTCTTCTTTTTTCCCCCATATCCCAGCAAGTTCATCCAGGATAAGTACAGCTACTACAGCCAGGAGGAGGCAGCTTATATTGTGGGAGCAGTCTATGACAGCTTAGTGGTCCTCTCAGCCATCGTGGGCATTCTCATTGTACGTATCTTTAATTTAAACCCAAATCTTATTCCTGTCTTCAATTCAATTTTATTCATACTGCACCAGATCAAAACAACTGTCCCTGTAGGGTGCTTTATATGGTATGCTAAGACCCCCCATGAGCAAGGACTTTGTGATAGTGGGAAGAAAAACTCCCTTTTAATAGGAATAAACCTTCATCGGGTACAGGAGGAATCTTGAAACACTCTCGCTGTCATGTGTTTCAGGATTATGTGGGTCTGCGGGGAGTTTTTGCATTGGCGAGCGCCGTCTTCACGCTGCCCGTGTTTGGACTCCTGGCTTTCACTTTTGTCCCTCCTCTGGTTTCAACCATATGGCTGGGAGTCACCTACTCCTTTGCTGCTGTGAGTGCGGATTTTTTTTTTAAATTCATTTTTGATAAATAAAATCTTGGACGTCAGAGTTAAAATGGTAAATTATTACAATGAATTCATGTATTTTCTAGTATGTTAAACTCTTTGCTGCCTGTGTGGCATTCCAGGCCAGCATGTGGCTGTCTATTCCCCTTGTCGTACCTCAGGCAACTCTGGGAACTGCCACCGGCCTGGCCACCTCCGTACAGATGTTTGGGGTCGGGATCTCCAATCTCATTGTTGGACAGATACTAGGCACCAAGTCCAGGTGGGGAGAACCTGACATTAGAATCTCATTGCAGTGCACTTGTTTAGAAGGTTCCATGAAAGCTGCAGCAATCGCTTCAGAGTGTCGGGTCAGAACATTTGTTAATGTTCACATGAGTGTGGAACAAAACAGCAGAGTCCAAGTTGTCGTTCTTCATATTTAAAATTGAGATGTGTGTGTGTGTGTGTACAAAGCATAATAATGCAAACCAGTTACACTTCAAATTACATCATACACATAAAGATACAGCTGAGCTGTACTCAAATGCAGTATATAAATAAATAAGCTGGCATATTACTTCAGACTGGTTATGTAAACCTAAAGTCAGATAATATGAATTAACACACCACATACAGCTATGCAATGAAAGCAACTTCACACTATTTAACATCCAGTACACAGAGCACAGAAACTACAAATCTCTCTGCTAGAAGCTAGTCAGTAATAAAATCTGTTATGTTAGCGAACTGCCACTTATGCATAACCTCATTTAAACAGAAGCACAAAGAACTGCTCATATGTCATCAAACACGCTAAACATGGCTAAACAAAAACATGACTAAGTGAAGTACACCTTTAAACATACGGTCTCATGAGCACACGCACTGTCAGTTGTTTAGCTGCTGTTTGTCTCTGAGATGAAGCTGCCCACATGCACACCTATGGTGCATTCAAGGATACATGGGAAATCCCACACACAACTCTACCTTTTTGTACAGCACTAATTGTCCTTCCAGTCTTGTTTAGCTCTGCAGTTTCTCCATTTGTGTTGCAGTGAAACTAAGATCCCGCTGTGGCGTTGGCAGAGGATGATGATCTTCATGTTGGCCAACACCATCAGCTGCATTGTGACCTCAGTGCTGCTTAACGTTGTTGATCACAGACAGGTCAGACATCTGAGGTTACCTCATTTGGTTACCTCATGACTTTATTTTCTCGAAATACTATCAGCAGAAAGTTAATGATGCCCCCCACCCTTACAGGACGGGATCCTCAACAAGACAACCAAGAAGTCAGGGCAGGCACAAGAAGGCTCCAAGAACTCGGGCGCAGAGAAACTTGAACTGAAAGCCGCTCACCCAGGCAGAGGAGAGGAAGAGCCAAATGAACAGAAAGGAAAAAGTGCACACTTTCTTTAGTAAAGTAGAAGTACAGATACCTGGGTTAAAATAAAATACTCAATTAAAAGTTGAACTACTGAAGCAAATTTTTTACCTAAGCAAGAGAGAAAAAGTACAGGCTCTGAAATGTACTCAAAGTAGACAAGTAAAAAGTTCTTGAAGGACAATTCTACTGAATTGTCCTTCAAGAACTGTTAAAATGACAATCAATCTAATTGAAACAGCTGCATGTTATGGATGTGGCCTCAAAGATTTGTAGTTTAGATTTAAAAGCACTTAATGTAATGAACTCAGTCATTTTCCATTCGTTCTGCAGTTTGTTCCAAGCTAAGGGTGCGAAATGAACAAAAGCTCTCTTACCAAATTCAGTTTGGGCAAATATACCATTTATACTGTCTTTACACTAGACAGTATAATGTTGGAATTCAGTGAATGAATCTAAGCATCACTACTCTAAAGGGACTGAGTAAGGTGCTGCTGAAATGGTTGTCAGCAGTATTTCTCATGTCAGAGTTAACAGAACTACCATTAAAGTCAACCTCAGGTCCTTGGTCGCCTCCCTGACTGAGATACTTCTTGCAAGAAAAGCATGTGAAGAGTCCTGCCAAATCAAAAGGTCTTCTACTTCAATGTTCTTTAAGTCAAAGTGTTCCTGAATGCTTCTGAAGTCATTTTGTAAGCGTGGATTTTCTTTGATGTCATGTTTTTCGTCTTCACATGCAGTGAATGAGTAACTACCATCTACTTAGGTATGTGTCTGCTTGTTTGTTTGTTTTTAAGCAGTATTTAACTCATTACCACAGGCTGATTTCACTCAGGTTATTAAATGACAGATTTTCATTTATTTGACTTTATCTACAGGACATAAGTAGATAATTCAATTTTAAAACACATTTTATCTCTGCTAAAATAGCTATAATGACTACTGCCATGAATAACTGTGTGGACATTACTGCTGTTACTAAATCATGTTATATATATTATACTGTTGCGTAAACGTGACTATCCAGAGTTAGGACTAGGAATAAGTGTTGCAGACTTACCTGCCTCTCTGCAGCTTCTTTCCCCCTGTTAAATTTACACATAAAATCTACAATCTTAAGTCCACCTTGTTAATCAACCAAAGACCCAGACAGAGTCTTAATTCATTTGAAAGCCTGATGCTTAGCCTTTTCCACCCCAGCTGGAACACGCAAAACCCTTTTTTATTTTTTGTTATCTATCATCCACCTGGGACTTACTTAAGAGTTTGTTCCATATTTCTCAGACTTTTTATCTGATTTAGTGCTTTATGTTGTGAAAAACTGAAATCTGGAAATTAGAATTGTTGTGCCTTATTTTGGTGATGTTTTCACATATATTCCTTTTGAAAATACTAAAATTTGTATATTTATTTAGTTTTGTTTGTCTGATTTACAAAATAAATCGGACATTTCAAACAGTTACTCGCTACTTGAGTAGTCTTTTCGCCAAGTACTTTTTGACTCTTACTTGAGTAACTTTTTTGACGACTACTTTTCACTTTTACTTAAATAATAATATTTTAAAGTAATGCTACTCTTACTTGAGTACAGTTTTTGGATACTCGACCCACCTCTGCCTACAAGACTGCTCGAAGAAGTCCTGCCATTAATTCATGCTTCAATCTTAAATATGATTGACCTATCTCTAATAATCGGCTATGTACCACAGGTGGCAGTAGTTTAAACCATTAAACTTAAAAAAACATCTTTTGACCCAGCGGCCTTAGCTAATTACAGGCCAATCTCCAACCTTTTTTTTTTTTTTTTCATTCCAACAGTTCTCGAAAGACTAGTTGTAAAACAGCTAACATCATCTGCAGATGAATGGCTTATTTGAAGCACAGAAACAGCTTTAGTGAAGGTTACAGATGATCTTCTTATAGCCTCTGACAGCGGACTCATCTCTGTGCTTGTCCTGCTAGACCTCAGTGCAGTGTTGAATACTGTCGACCATGAAATTTTATTACAGAGATTAGAGCATGTGGTAGCTTTTACAAATACTGTGTTACAATGTTTAAATCATATCTAATAGATTCCAATTTGTTCATGTAAATTGGGAGTCATTTTTACACACTAAGGTTAGCTATAAAGAGAATGCGTTTCTTGAAGAAAATGCGAATGCTGATACGTTAATATTCTTTTAGCTGTAATTCTGTAATTGCTGAAATATTTGGGTAACTTGATAAATGTAGCACCCCTGACTCAGTACTCCACTATAGCCGGATACGCCCTGAGTTCTAGTTACCCTCAGTGCAAGCTCCCCTGAGTTACACACGTAACACCTTTATCTTACTCTGAACTATAGATAAGAAACAGTACCAGACACAAGATCTTATGTTTAAACCAAGCAGGTTTACTTAATGAACTGGTGAACACCCAATAAATCAATAAAGTAAGAAGTCTCTTGCAATGATAAAATATAACAATAATAACAGTTACACAGTTCTTTACCGTAATGGGCCCCACACACACACTCTCACACACCACCCAGTTTCCCAAGTCCCCTCGGTGCAGGCCTGGATTGATGCTGGGGTGCGTAGGAACCAAAAGAAAACAAAATGGTGCTCCTACCTGGAACCCCCCCCCCCCCACACCCCCCACAAACACACACAGGATTGTACATTAACATAAAACTTTTGTCGGAACCATACTGAATTTCACAAGAGAAACACACACATATGAAGAGAGAGAGAGAGAGTATGCATAGTATGCAAACCGCTACCAAACGGCCATCATAATTCGTCATACAATGAGAACAGGACAAATCAACAATTGACAAGGACTAATTAATATTAAAATCTGTAACATAATGTTTTGAGTTTAGTCTGTTACTGTTACTATTTTTACCATTTCTTTTTGGAGCAACTGTAATCCACATTATTTCCTTAGGGATTAATAAAGTATTCTGATTCTGATTGTTTCAGGATGACCTGCCATTATCCAATGACACATCTGCTTACCTGCATCTTTTGCTCGTTTCTCCTCTTCTTCTTTTCTCTTTTTTCTAAACTGAAGACCTGATGGCTTTGAACCCAGGATTCAAATCATGAATACATAATGGGCTTGGATTTACAACATTATGAATAAAATGTGCTCTATTTGGAAGCAGCAGGGCCCCCCTCCCCTTCCCATGGGTTGTGTTTAAGACATTAAATCATCAAACTGTAAATTATAAATTTTAAATTGTTAGTGATCCCTTTGCCTCGAGTTCTAAAGTCTGTATTTATTTTCTTACTCTTCTTATATTTATTGTTTGTTTACTTGCACTGCTGTAACTGGAGCCTCGCCGTCTCGTCTCTCTATATACTGGACTGTATGTAGCGGAGATGACAATAAAGTTTACTTTGACTTCAGCAGCGAGCAGGCGCACCGAGGAAAAACAGTATCTTACTGACAGGAGCTTTTGAGAGAGGGCCATCAAATGAGCAGATAAATTAGTTTTCAATGAAAAGATAATTGTAAAAGTCATCGACTGCCTCCAACTGCCCAGATTTGAACCACCTGTCTGCTGAAGACAAATCCATCAATGAAAAATAAGCCTGAAATTAATGTGCCAATCAGAATGCTCTATCATTCCCATACATTTAAATTCACTATCTGAAAATAACTGCCAAAGAGCTTTGAGTTGGACTGCAGCAAATACTAAAATAGTGTTACTCTGTAGCAAATTCCTGTCAAATTTGTCTTGGTGCGCCTGCTTAAAAAACTGCTTCTAAATCCAAGATCTTGACTCCTATCAAAATAGTTTTTAAACCACGAGGGTCTAAAAGACTTGTTCTACACAGCAGTGTATTTTAATGTTTCTGGTCTCAAAAATGTGGTCACAAGAGTAAAAACTTTCAGTCTTTTCTGCTCTTGAGACAAACTCCTCACTCAAAAGACAATGGATCACAATGGGTCAGTTAGAAGGTACTTCCTTTACTTTCATCTATGAAGCTCAAAAAGTGTACATCTCTTAGCTTTGAGAGACACGTCGTTAGGAAGTGACCCACGATTGGAATGCTTTGAGGGTAAAATGATGGCTGTAGAGCGAAAACTGTGGACACGGCAGTAGCTGAGAGATACGTTTTTAAGATGAATCTTTTGGTTTCTGCCACTGTGGCAGCTGATCTTCTCAATTAAACCGCCAACATTCCGTCCCATAGAGACATCCATTATAAACTGTGAAACGGGTGAAAAGAAGCATGAAACTTAAACTGGAACTGATGGAAAAACTATAAAAGGTATTGAAACGATAAATACAACCTGAAAAGTTCAATGTCTTGGCTTTGTTTTAAACTTTGAACAGTGTCTGTAGGTGAATGTATGTGGAAACAGAGTTAACCCTTTTGCTCCCCTTTGGGGCAGCTCCGGACCCCGGGGGTCCCAGAGGAGTACCCCTGGGTCGCATTTCACAGGCCGCGCATCAGGGTTGGCTCCCGCGCCCTGTACACCCACGTTTCCCTCCCTGAATGCCACTCCCATTTCAATTTTTCCTCCTAGTTTCAGGCAGGCTCTATCACGTTCGTCCATGGGAGGCCGCTGTTAACCCTTGTGCTCCCCTTCGGGGCAGCCTCAGACCCGGGGGTCCCAGAGTACCCCACCCTCAGTAGAGACAGGTGAATGAAAATGAAAAAAAAACCCCAGAACGATCATTTGGGGTCGTCGAGTGCCCCAGAGCGATTCTAATGGGTTTCGTCAGGGGATTGGGAAAGAAAATGTAGCACTTGGGGGCCACGCACAGAAGCTGCTGCGGCAGCGTGGGGGTCATTGATACCCCAGTACATAAAAATGAAGCATAATCACAATAATGATAATAATGATAATAATGATAAGAAGAAGAATACAACACACAGACGCTTCTGAGTTTTATTTTATTTTATTTGAAATTACACTCGCGACACAACTGAGGCAATCTGGAAGGCAAAATAAAAGTCAACAACGGGGTTGAATCAGCCTTTCAAGACAAATGAATCTCAGTAGATATGTCAAGAACAGGTTTACATGAAAAAAAAGGTTTACATGAAAAAATATCAACAAACTGTCTGTGTTTCAGGCGCTCGGTGCTGTACAGCGCCTCCTGTGGATGAACGTCATAGAGCCTGCCCAAAACTAGGAGAAAAATTGAAACGGGAGTGGCAGCCACAGAGGGAAATGATGATGAAATGATGAAATGATGAAATGATGATGACCTATGATGATGACCTATGATGATGACCTATCCAGATGACCTACCTACCTACCTACCTACCTACCCCCCCCGGGCTGTATTTTTGATTACAATATCAACAAACTGTCCGTGTTTCAGGCGCTCGGTGCTGTACAGCGCCTCCGGTGGCTGTGAATACATGATAAAAATGTCACCGTAGGATGCGTGCATTGAAAGAATCAGCCTTTCGTGACAAACGAATCTCAGCAATCTCCTTTGTAACACTCTGTGGCCAGCCGCAGCTGGCCGATTTTCATCACATCCTCTCCCACCAGTTTGTCGTAGGCCTCGGTGATGGCGTCAAAGATTTTCCTCGCCGATTTCAGTTCATGCAACAGCGTCTCCGCCACGGTGCCGACCTTGACATCGCTCGCTTCGATGTTGCGGGCGATCAGGAGACGTTGAATGGAAGGAATGAAACGAGGCGTGAGGAGTCTTTTCCTGATGCTGTAATAATGTTCAGCGTAAAAGTCATCGTCCAAAACTCGCAGACACTCGTGTTGTCTCTGGCTGGGGTGATTGGTCTTGCACCCGTTGCACGCTTCGGTGCGGTACTCGTTGATCACTAGGTCGAGTAGGTGATAAACCGCAGTTTTCACTGTATCGACGAGTAAAGAAGACGCCCAACCGTCAAGCTCGGCGTCTTCCCGCTTGCCCGCTGGCCCGCCGCCGCCGCATAACACTCCGCGTCGGACAGTATCTCCCCCTCTTCCGAGGAACTGTCAGTTGAGCCGTCCAAGGAACGGTCCTCCTCGTTGCGACTTAGGGGTGCAGAGTCCATCTTTTTCTATTTTTTTTTATGTTTTATAGCGACTTCATAGAACAGCTACAGCATAGGCAAACATTCAGTGAGTAAGTAAGTAAGTAAGTAAGTACATAGACCGCATTGGAACTAGAAATCCTAGAAAACAAGTGAAATGAAACTCAGCCTTCATAGTTTAACAAGGAGAAACGGGGTGGGTTTAGCAAAATGAACATTGACAGTGTACAATTTAACTGAGAATATCCAAGGGCTCCACCGAGCCCCATGAGAACATAAGATGTAAAGTACGCTCCTGCGCCAAATAATCCCAAGGAAGGGAGGCCGAAGAATTTACACCGCTCCTTCAATTCGATCCTCTCCTCTTCTTCCCTTTTTCTTTGTTCTTCCTCCTTTCTCCCCTTCAGCCTTTCTCCTTCGAGTTTCTTCTGGGCCGCCTTATACATCTCGTCGGTGTAGTGGTTTCCTCCACTGAAATCCACCATTTCATCTATTTCATCCAGAAGACAGCCCCGGAGTGTCGATCACAGCGATATTTCTTCCGTCTTCGCCCTCTGCCTCTTTTCTGAGACAGCCGTCGGTGACAGACACGGGCGAAACGTCTTCTTTGAAAGCGTTCGCATCCCCCAGGATGGTGTTTCCGGACGCACTCTTTCCCGATCCTGTTTTACCGACCAGAAGGAGTCTCAGTTCTTCACGGGTCGCAGAGCCTGCGGGGCTGGGGAAATGATGGTAACATTTGAATCATTCCAGAAAAAACCCCCCATAGAACACTACGTTACAC